TACTTTTAAAAAGCATCCATCCCAAGGATGAAATAAACCGGGGAAAACAAAGTGGTTAAATCATTCTATAATACCGCGAAATCTGAGACAACTGAGAGGTGTCTTATCTCGATATAGAATTGGAAAGATTCTTGAACAAGAAATTACATTGGCCTCCAGTTTTTTTTTTACATATGGCCTCCTAATTTGCTTTTTCTTCCCTCCAACAGTTCGAGAGAACCATTTTTTAATTGGGATCCCAGTGGAACTTTATGGTCTTTGAGAATCTTTCTTGCTCGCGGTAAAAAACAATAAAATACTAAGTGTATTCCGGTGGTATACAAAAAATATACTACATACAAGTGCATTTACTCTCACGAAAATCCTTGAATTTTAGATACGTAGCCTAGCCTAACCCAATCCAACTTAAACTACTCGTCCCTTACTGTAGCCTAAGCTAACCTAACCCAACCTAACCTAAAATAAACGGTCCTTTACTCTAAGCCAATCCAACATAACCTAAACTACTCGTCCCTTACTGTAGCCTAAGCTAACCTAACCCAACCTAACCTAAAATAAACCGTCCTTTACTCTAAGCCAATCCAACATAACCTAAACTACTCGTCCCTTACTGTAGCCTAAGCTAACCTAACCCAACCTAACCTAAAATAAACCGTCCTTTACTCTAAGCCAATCCAACATAACCTAAACTACTCGTCCCTTACTGTAGCCTAAGCTAACCTAACTCAACCTACCCTAAAATAAACGGTCCTTTACTCTAAGCCAATCCAACATAACCTAAACTATCTCGTCCCTTACTGTAGCCTAACCTAACCTAACCCAACCTAACCTAAAATAAACGATCCTTTACTCTAAGCCAATCCAACATAATCTAAACTAACTCGTCCTTTACTCTAAATTAATCCAACCTAACCTAAACTAGCATTCGTTGTCCAAAACAAACCCTACCTACCCTAACCTCCCTAAAAATTAAAGGGTAAAATGACACGGCCTTTTTACGACCTTACTCACCACGACCTTTTTAACAGACTCCAAAGCTCTTCCTAGAGTAACCTTCCGGCCTGTTTTCCTCTCCCAGGAGAAAAATCTCAGCCTACTTTGACTTTCACACAAAAGAGACATGTTCGGGTGTTTCTTTTTGTTTACAATATCTGCACACGATTCTGATGCTCCGAGTAAGTAGAGATGACTCGAAGTTTAGATGGAGCTAAGTGTTTGGCAATTTTCGTTTAATCGCACTTTTTGTAGCCAATAATCCTTCCTCGATGCCCCTCAGTACAGAAACAAGGCTAGGAGGCTTTAGCTTTTCCTCTCCCATCAAAGGAAATCTCAGCTTTGGCACCAATAAAAGATCCGTTGTTTCTTCTTCTTCCTGGTCGTATGTACGCAGGCGTGTTTCTGCTGCCCCAAATGTATGCATACGCGGGAGTTTGCAGTGCCCAGACAGCAGTCCCTCTAACATTCAAGTTCATCATTATCTAGAGCTCTTCGCTATGCTTGATGCTTTTTACCAGTTCCCAAACCTTTGTTATCCCATGAGAGAAAACCTAGTGGTCGCCTTTATTTCTACCAAGTGATGGAGTAATATAAATAACTATTTGAGTGAATAGAAAGAATGTTCCTAAGAATACGTATTGAGCCAATAATGAACTATCGAAAGCCCCTTTCTAACTTTGGTAACTAAGGGAGATCAAAGACTACCCAACAACCGCTACCGTGAGAATTCTGATTCCTATAGTTAGAAAGTGATCAGAGAACGAATTGGCAGGTAACAACAACCGTAAGAAAGTAATAGTATTTCCTTTATACTGATTTTTTTTAATGTACAAGTCTCTGTTAGCGAGGTATTATAATACATGTCCTACATCAATACTTAAAAATTCCTGCATCACTTCGTCACAGTGGATCTTAGTTCATTGACATCGATAAGGACCAGAAAGGACTACATTGGAATTCGATGTCAACATTCTTGCCAAGATACTAGACTACATTTTAATTCAATTAATCTCAAGAGGTCGAAGGAGCAACGAGCTGGTTCCTCTTACAGTTGTTCTCCTGGAAAGTTATTTTAAAATTTGACTATGTTTATACTCATTAGTCACTCTAATTTGAAGATTTATTGCGATCGAATAAAATCATTAATCGATAGTTTTTAGTCTACCCACGTCATGTTTTTATTTCGGTTTTCACATATGCTGGATTTTCTAGCTAGTTGCTTTTTACGAATGTTCTTTTTTATTCGTGTGATTCTTAGGCCAATTCCACACCATATTGAAAACTAGTACATGAAATCAGCTGATTACAGATGGCAACCAGAACTCGGATATTTGTTTTTGATCAATTATTCATGAGGTAGGGCAAGAAATGTCTCAATAAACGTCGTTTCTTTTATTGATGCTTTAATTTTAGACATTAACGTTTATTTTAAATTTTCTGGCAAATTGAAGTAGGAAATAAAGTCAAAATAAAGTAGATCATTTACTTGAGCGCAATCGATTAAAGTTTACCGTACTTTCAACCTTCATTAATAAACTTCAAGGAGACGCTTACAACCAGTGTTTTCTTATCTTTATCACTGTCCTCCTCATTTGCTTTGGGTTACATCTAAGGTTCCAAGAGAGATTTTGTATAATTAGAAATTTTTGTACAAAGAAAATGTTTACGACCAGTATAGTGTTTTTTTAAATTTACTTCTGTCCTGCTAATCAGCTTTTGGTTCCATCCAAGGTTCCAAGAGAGATTTTGTATAATTAGAAATTGTTTGTACAAAGAAAATGTTTACGAGCAGTATAGTGGTTTTTTTATTTACTTCTATCCTGCTAATCAGCTTTTGGTTCCATCCAAGGTTCCAAGAAACACTTGAATAATTAAAAAATTTTTGTACAAAGAAAATGTTTACGACCCGTATTGTTTGTTTTCTTTACTCTTGATCTCTTCGTCAGCTTTTCATTTTCTAGCTGAGTGTTTTACCTTGGATGAAATCCGTCCACTCCATTTGGGGGGTCTATATTTGCCTAGAAATTAATTTATGACTTACTTGAATAGTACAAAAAATCCAAAACAACAGATCCGATATGCCCGTCATGCCTGGAACTACAGATTTCAATTAGGTCATGAATTCAATTTTTAACTTAATGCTTTTTGTTTTGGAAAGGACCTTACATAAAAGAATAATTAATTGAAATTGTAATAATATCTCTCTCTCTCACTATTACTCTCACTCTCCCTCTCTTTCGGTTCCATCCAAGGTTTAAAGAAACTGTGAATAATTAGCAGATGTTTACGACCATTATAATTGAGATGGGAAGTTAGTTCCCGAGGGGATCGAGGTCACGATAGCTCAAGTGGTAGAGTAGCAGCGTATCAAGCCGAAGGTCGTGGGTTCGAATCCCGCTCGTGACACTGACTTTTCTATCTCAACTTAAAAAACCTTAATTAATTGGATATTATTAATTGGTCAAGCGGTCCACGAAAAATAGTGAATTTAATGACCATTATAATATTTTTCTGAAATTTACTTCTCTCCCCTTTATCTGCTTTTGGATCCAAGCATGTTCCAAAACCAGTTGAATAATTAGAAGTCCTTTTTTTATATCAGAAGACGTTTACCACTAGTATTTTTTTTTACTCTTGTTCCACTCATCAGCTTTTGGATCCATCCAACGTTTCAAGAAACAGTTGAATTAGTAGAAGATGTTTACGACCAGTATAATTATTTTTTTACTCTATATCTGTCCTCCTCATTAACTATTGGTTCCATCCAAGGCTCCAAGAAGCAGTTGAATAATTATAAAAAGTTTGTTTACATCTAGAAAATGTTTACGACCAGTTTTTTTTAAATTTGGGGTGTAGATATATAGATATAAAACATCCAGCCATTTTATATCAGAAATATACCTCCATCCTATGCAGTGTAGCCAACACCCAAGCTAAATTTGCTATAATAATATTGAAAGTTAATATAATAAATATATATAACGTTAGCAATTAAATATCTCCTAATTTTGTAATAGTTCATGTAAAATAGAAATATATTTTTTAAATTTATTTATTTGTAGCCTATACATACTTGTACATAATACAAATGTGATCTCAATGTATATTGTTTACCGCTCGGTCACAGCACTAACACTGATGCCAGCGCTGCACCCGGAGGGCGCATGCCATGAGAAGCCAGCCAGTGCTGGCACTCATTTTAATAGATTAAGGGGCAAGGAGGTCTCGGGGCCATCGTCGTTTTAGGCGACGTGGTGGATTCTCGGGATGGGAATATGTGGAGAGGGCTCTAGCGGTAGGGTTAGGATGGATCGATAGGTTGGTATGAAATTTTTGGAATCGGAAATGGATCAGTTCGTGGACAAAAGGAACGTTGAGGTCTTTGTGGATAGTGAGGTTAGAGACGTAAAAAGGAGCTTTGACGATTTGTCTGAGGACTTTTGATTGGAAGGACTGGATACGCTGGATATTGGATGGTTTGGCGGAACCCCACAGTTCCACACCGTATGTCCAAAGTGGTCGCAGTAAAGTCTTGTATAAGGTCAGTTTAGTGGTGATGGTTAACCCGGATTTTGGTCCTAGTAGTCTGCGTAATTGTCCAAGTCTTCTGTTGAGTTGTTGTCTTTTAAGTCTTGTGTGGGGATTCCACGTCAGTCTGCTGTCAAGGTATAGTCCTAGGTATTTGACTTGAGTGGAAGTCGGTATCTCTTCATTGTTGATGTATAGTGGAGGGCAAGACTGTTTTTTCAAAGTGAACGTACATTGGATGCACTTTTCTCCGTTTAGCCTTGTCCTCCACTTTTTGAACCAACCTTTGATGAGCTCAAGGTGTTCTTGGATATTAGAGGTAGCTTGGGTAGGATTCAAGTTATATTTAAAATATTCAAGAAATATTTAAAAATTTAAAGAACTTTTGTATTCAGTGAGTGTGGGTGAAAGTGTAATGCGACACTTTATTAATATTTTAAAATAAATTTTAAGATAATGATGTGTTTTTTTTCTAGATGATGAGCTTACCGGTTTCAACATGAGGTTATGCCTGAGAACGTATTGGATCCTTCACACCATCTCCTTATCGGTCTCGACAGGAGTGTCTATAATATACTGGAAATTTATCTACTCACCAGGTGAGTTAAACTGAATTTCTTAAAAGCTGGAAGTGTTTAGGGGTCGACCAGACGGTGATTCCATCAGTCAGGTCCGCAGGCGATTCAGGTCTAAAGAATCACAGTGCAGGTTTAGGGTCGTAACTTGGTAAATATCCATCTGAACTGATCCTAAGATTTTTTATTAAAATATTGTCGCTGTGACGTGATGAACCTGCGAACTACTAAATTCGTAATCCTATTAGTCTGATTATCATAACAATTATCCCACTAAAAAAAATTTATTTATTAATTTTAATCAACAATCATTACTACTTAATTAAATGATAAAAAATTGAATTAATTATGTAGGTTTTTGTTTTAATTTACGATATTTCGTTTTTTTTCTCACTGTAAGCATTTATTATAGCTATTACGCTTTGGAACTGGACTTTAATTTTTCGTTAATTGACGCCAATGCGTGGGCAGAGGTGAACAGACCAGCCGGCCGGTTTCTCCAGCCAACTTCAATTTACTTTCGCCGAAGCTTGTAATTTCTATTGATTGTTACGTCATTAACAACGCGTTACAAAAAAGAAAAGAAAAAAAGAAGAGATAAAATATATGTAACTGTATACAATCATACTTATGTGGTTGATGTCAAAAACACAGTGACAGGCAAAAAATTCCACCTACTTGTAATATAATTTGATTTAGATATATTTTTATATATTAATCAAAGTTTCGGGCTTTGTAACGTTGAACAATTGAGTCTTTTTTAAATTAAAAAAAAGTAAATTGCAAAGGAAAATGAAAAATAAAAAAGACGGACAGATAAAATTTCTTTTAATTATATTTATAATTAAAATTTCAATATTACGTATTTACTCCTCTTGCCTTAATTATGTCTCGAAGACGCCTCGGCATACTTTTCTACCAGTCTGGGAATGTCTGTTTGCTGAAGGTTAGTCCATTCTTCACGAAGAGCCCTTTCAAGATCGTGGAGTGTATCAGGAAGTGATGAACGTGCTCTTATTCGGCTTTTGAGGTTATCTCATAATTGTTCGATGGGGTTCAAGTCTGGAGAACGGGCTGGCCAGGCTAAGACCATTAAGTTATGCTGTTGTACTATGCGAGCGACATGGGGACGGGCATTATCGTGCATTTGAATAGGTTTGTCGCTAATTTCATCGAGGATAGGCAACATACGTTCCCGATTTACTCATCGTCAACAAGACAAGAGGATCTTTAACGTCCGCACCTAGCCTATACGGCCTTATCGGACGTTTTGATTCTCAAGATGAGAGCTGACGCACCTCTGCATACGACGGAAAAGTGTTACCGCCGCAGCATTGGTGTAGTGGTGTCCCGGCCCCTCAGAGTCAGTAGCCACGCTCTCCGCTTGTCCATTCCGAGTGGTCGGGCCCGCATTGTGCGTCGGGTCGTACGCCGCACTCGAGGGGCTAACGGGCCGAAATACATCAGCCCGTCCCCCCCTCGCGTACTCCCTAGATAGAGAAGACGACTCTATCTCTCTGAGTGTAGAGGCTCCTCCAGTGTAGAAACTTCCGGGAACGCCCCGACAACGGTTTCGGATTATAGTGGGATTGCTACCCACCCCCTAGATGAGCACTGTCTACGGTAAAAAGGTCTCTTATCGAGCTCAGCCTACACCTGCTGCACGTAATCGAGGGACGCCATAGGTCTAGCCTAGGTGGTCCGATCCTTCGCTTCCCCGAGGGTACCACGCCGGTCATACGCACAGCAATGCAAAGCATACTCGAGTCAAAGACCGCCGATATCACTACCCTTTTCCAATCGCTTACTTACGCATTCGAGGGACTGTAGCATGATCATGACGTCCTCAACGCTTACATGCTGTCGTCCGGTCGCAACGTCTCCCGTGAGGAACGGGGGGTAATACATTGGCCATACGCACGCTTCACGAAAGGTCCCACATAGAAGACAGCCTCTGTCTAAGTTCCCGCCAGGGGCGCCACCACGAGTCCATCCCAATGTGACTCTGGGCTGGTTTTTGAAACGTTGAATCACCCCGTGGTACAGATGGCCATACAACCCTCCCCCATCTTTGTAGACAGGATCTGGTGCACTGGCCCTCGTGTGACTCTGCTAAGGGACCCGCCGCCCCTGCCGACCCTGAGGCCGACATAAGACAGCTTGTGTTTTAGAGAGGTTGTCACGCCCTCTGGGCTGCACCATTATTTTGTGCCCGGATACCCCCCTTGTAACTAAGGGTTAGGAGGGGTCACAGGATAGAATGAAGGAATTCGGATTGAGAAACAGGGCCGTGGAAGAGAACACGAGGTGAGCCGTTTCGGGGTCTCGAGTCTCAACCACATTATACCACCCGCACAGAGTGGGCCATGACTCCCAGGGTGGGTGAGGCGATATGACCGTTCAAATGCCGAACTAGTCGACCGTATCCCAGCCAGTCGCCTCGGGGGGGTTGAATCCAAGTCCACGGAAAATAAATCCCGCGGGTCGGATTGGGATCCTCAATCGCAAACACTCACTCTTCACAATCAGTGAGCTCGCGGTGGGCGACCGGTTCCTCAGGCTTTCGCAGTTTCCGTTCAGGCTCCCTGCTACTCCCCGAAGGCCGAATGTCGCTCACACCTGGGCTTGAGAGACTCTTCCTCAGCGATTCGAACCCCTGAATCGCACATGGTGGCAAGGGGGAGGTGGTCAGGCTCCCCCAGCGTCAGAAACGGGAACAGTCGAACAGTCGAGCCCAGATAACGTGGGCTACGCCTTCCGCTGCCTCTCTTGAGACCCAGAGCGGTCAGATAGCCAACTGGGCGCGGGGCACCCGCCGAAACTACACGCCGTCATAGGTAGGATAGGCAACAGATGATGTTCCAAAATTTCATCCACATAGCGAGTGGCGTCAAAGACCCTCCAAGAAAAAACAACCAACTCTCTATTGAGATTCCCGCCCACGTCATCACTGAGTCACGTTGAAATTTAAAGGTACCAGCTGCATTCGAACCAGACAAATTGGCCTTTTTTTTCAAAAACTCCGGTACCCCCAGGATTCATATAACCTTGTAGTTGAAATACCCACGTAAAAAAACTCTACTAAGTACTAATTATTTAAACTGTATGAATTGTTTTTGTATTTCAAATGCTAACCTACATTTTCATTTGTAAATCAATTCCATTTGATTGAAGTATGCACAAAACCGTTTGGAAATATGTAGGTTTGAAAATTTTGTTTAGCTCTGGTGTTTGGTGTATAACTAATATAATTGTAAATCCTCGGTACCGAATGGCAAATCAGAAAGCCAAGGCTTGAATTATTTTGTAGTCATTTTCAAATCTTTCGCCAAGCTTAAAAACAATAATTAACAACAAATCATACGATATTTCACTTTCTACGTTTTTGTAATAAAGCAAAATTGTAGGAAATAAATAAAAAAGATACAGTTCTTTATATACATATGGTATGTATCTACAATGGTAGTTTTTTTACAACTTATTAGTGTCACCCCTGGTTTTCTCAAAAACTAGCCTAAAAAATTAAACTATGAAATTTTTGTTTTTTAAAATGGTTCCCTACATTTTACCTACCCTAAAATCCCTTTGTCTCAAGGTGCCAGGTCAGTTGACCGTTCACTATGGATTCCAGGATCTTACTCAAGCAGGTTGTCATCGAAATCGGTCTGTAACTCATGGCCAGACTTGGGTCCCTACCTTTCTTGAGGATCGGTATAATGAGCGCTTCTCGCCAACGATCGGGGTACGAGCCTGAGCCCCATATGTTGTTGAATAATTCCAACAGTCGACACTACGCACCATGGGGAAGGTGTCGAAGTATCTCATATGAGATATCGTCACACCCGATGCTTGAATTTTGGGAGTGCCCCAACGCAGACTCGAGCTCCCCCATCGTCAGGGACATGTTATACTGTTCATCGGTTCCGCCACTGAAATCAAAGCCAGTAATGTTCCATCTCGGTTTTCCTGTGCCGGAAGCCTTCTTCACACACCCCCGATCAGTGGTGGAGGTTTAAACGCGCCAGAGAGAGCTCTGTCCTTGTCCCAAACCTTCCTGACTGAAGTACGGTAGGTCATTTCCGACACAAACTTCGCTAGGCTGTACTTTTTGCCTGGTTAGCCTGGTTTAAGGTACGTCTCTCCCTTGCTCTTTTCATTTTAAAATCAGCCAGGTTCTCCTCCGTCGCATGCCTTCTGAAGCGCCGGAACGCAAGCTTCTTCTCCGCGCGTGCACGTCTACAACCATCACTCCACTCTCCGATCCTGGGGATCGTTATGGATGCAGCGTCGTTGATCTCCCTCTCAAAGAGAAGGGGATCCTGTGTTTTTTTTTTTATTGTGTTTTTTTACACTTTACTCCTGTCCTCCTCATCCGATTTTTAATCCATCTAAGGTTCCAAGAAACGGTTGAATAATCAGATGCCTTTGTTTACGACCGGTATTGAATTTGAACTTACTCCCGTCCTTCTTATCAGCTTTTTGTTCCATCCAAGCTTCTAGGAAACAGTTGAATAATTAGAAGCTTTTTTTATATCAGCAAGATATTTACGAGCTGTATTATTATGATTATGATTATTTTTTTACTTTACTCCTGTCCTTTATATCAGCTTTTTGTTGCATCCAAGTTTACAAAAAAACCGTTAGTAATTAGAAAACTTTTTTTATGTCAAGAAGGCATTATGACCAGTATTTTATTTTTACATTTTTTTATTTTTCTGTTGTCCTCATCTGGTTTTTGTTCCATCCAAGGTTCCAAGGGACAGTCGAATAATTAGAACATTTTTTTATTGTAAGAAGACGTTTACGGCCAGTATTGTTTTTTTCCTCTATTCTAGTCTTCCTCGTCAGCTTTTAGTTCCATCCAATGGTCTAAAACAGCTGACGAGGAGCAGCTGTAAACAAAACCATGTTTGATTCTTTTTAGGTTGAGTAGTTTCTGAAAATAGTAGGGGTGACATTACTAAGTTCAGGATATCAGCTTAAGATTTTGCAGATCAAATCAACTTTATAAACTTTCCTGAATA